TAACCGAGCAGTTGGGAAAGACCAAGTTCCAGTGTAGGTTGCACAAGCTCCTATCCAGTCTGCTGGCCTTGTAAGTATGACTTTGATCCCCTCTAGACCAGGTGAACTTTGGTCCCGAGAACCCGAGATCCACCAGCTCTGCAAGGTTCATCCTCTCGGTGAAAAGTTGACATCTCCTAAGAGTGTTCCTGGTAGGAAAGCCCGACTTTTCCTCCGGTTTACTAATGGCATTGAAATCCCCTATGAGCAGCCAGGGAATGTCAATGTGCCTGCTTTGGGTAATCAGCCTCTCCCAAAGATATCTCTGCTCGCTTTGCCGGGGAGATGCATAGACAGCAGACAGCATCCAGGGAGGTTCGTTGGCTCTGGTGATTTTGAGAGATAGGTGCTGCGAGCAGGCCGAGAAGAGATGCACCGAGAACACTCCTCCGTCCCAGAAGACCCACACTCTGCCCTTTCGTCCCTCCGCTTCCATCCGGAACGAATTCGGGAATCCTAGCTTGTCACAAATTGCATTGGCAGAATTGCCACTCAGCTGAGGCTCCAGAAGCACCACAAAGTCTGGGCGATGATTCTGAATAGCCAATTTCAGAGCTCGACAAAACGATCTGCTCCCTGCGCCACCGACATTCCACGACAGAACTTTTAATTTATGAGTCATCGACATAGAGTTAGAGGGACACCGAACAAAGGCAGCACAAGACCACCACGAAGAAAAAGGAGGAGAGCCGGCTCGTTTAAGTGCGAGCTTCATCGCTCGGAACCTCAGCCTATAGGTGTCCCTCCGACCCAGTCTTCTCCTTCTCCCCACCGTCATTCGCCGGTCTTTTCGCCGCCTCCGTCCAAGCGCTAATCTCCTGTAAGGTCAGAGACGCCATGCGCGACTTGGATTTGGGTTTCCTATCCTTGATCGGAGACCAAATTTGGAGGGGCTTCATCGGATTCAATTTGGACGGCGACTTCTTACCTTGCACTTTCTTCCCCTTGCTGCGTTTCGTTCTGGCAGTTAGAGATGGGGTTGTGTCGCCGATATCTCTTGAGGATTGTGGGCTCTCAATTATCTGCATCAATGTTCCATTAGGGCCCATAACAGTCTTGAAAGAAGGAGGTTCGGGCATGTCGTTGACCATGCTAAGAGGAGCAGGCCCCACTGCCAAGTCCGATTTTTTTGGGCCAAGCTGCTGACAGGAAACTGGATCCGGCCGAATACTTGAAGATGAGGCCCCATTCTTAGACGTTGGCTTTGGCCCTGTAACTGTATCCCCTGTTTTGGGCCTGGGCCCAAGGAGGCCCTTCCCTTTCCCAGTACTCTCCTTAATCGCTTTCCCTTTCCCTTTCTGCACTTCCACTCCGCTTTCATTCCCAATAACCAATTTTCTTTCTTGTGTTGAATCCCGTTGGGGTAAAGGGCCGTTTGGGGTTGTCGACGGAGATGGCGGCTGAACTGCATCCTTGCCGACGGCTTCATGATTCCTATTCTTGGCAATTATGATTTGATTCCCTGTATCATGTTCCTCCTTTCCTTTTCTGTGCCCATCACCCGATTTCTGCCTGGATTTCCTTGATACCAGCATCCACGGTCCAAAGCCCGGATTGGAATCTTCTGCTGTTTGTGTCTGACTGCCCGGCGGCGATCCTCCGGCGACGTTACCTTGAGATGAAATTTCTTGTGTTTTGTTCTGGGGACATGTTCCCTTATTGTGTCCGATCCTCCCACAATCAAAACAAACCTCAGGGAGGTTCTCGTACTCAACCGTTTGCCACTCGTCATCCAGCCAAATTCGGGGAACCAGAGCTTTGGAGATATCAACTTCTACCGCTACCCGAGCGAACTTAGCTCGTTGCTGGGTTAACATATGATAGTCCAGCTTAATGGTTCGTCCAATGAGATTCCCCAACATAGTAATTACCTCCTTGTGGTAGAAGTGGATTTTCAGAGCAGGGAACTGAACCCAAACAATCATAGTTTTTGGCAGAGGGTCGGAGGCCTTGAACTTGGGCGTCCACTGCTGAACGACCAAGTAATGGTCATGTATAACCCATGGTCCATCGGTTAAAGCGCGGAAGTAATCTTGTTCATTGTCCAATTTGACTAGAAAACAGTCGTGATCCAGATCCTTAACCTCCATGGCGCCAATCGGCCGCCATAAGCTTTTTAGAAGATTACAGAGGGTGATGAAACCGATCCTCAACCCTAGTAATCGAACCACAATTGTTCTCTGCCAGGGTGCACAGAGCATTCCTTTGAACTCCGCCGAAACAGCCAGAGCCGGTTCTCCATTTCGTTCGCCGGGCACCAGATCATGTTCTCCTACCGGAGTCCATTGCAAAGACTGATTCAGGGTCGTCGCTTTCTGTGGCATTCCTATGACCGCCTTAGCATACAAGAAAGGTTGGCCATTCGCCGTCCCATTCACTTGTCCAAGGGCCCCTCCGGCCGCTGGATCTTGTGTCATCACCTGTTGCACAGACAAAGAAGAGGAATCAATTACCATTTCAGAGGAACCTGTGGCCTGCGCCACATCCAAACTTAAAAGAATTAGAAACGGCCATCGCCGAGGGATTCAAAGAGTCAGGCGGCCGATCCGAGGGAAGCAGAGACGGTGCCGGAGCGGAGGTTCCAGTGCTTGCAGTCGGGAGCATTTTCAAAGCATCTTTGAACCTGATTGTAAGTTATGAGTTTGAATAATTAAAAATCAATTACTGTGTGCCATATATGATAATAAATGCGGCGTCAGGACCTTCCAGCCATCTAATATATTAACTAAAGAGGGCAACTTTTCAAAGAGAGAAAGAAACATGCAAAGCTAAAACTGACCTTAGCCTGGAGATTCAAACCTGGCTGCTATGGCTTGCCGCGCAACTTGATCCAACCAATTCGATTCAATTCAATTCTAATTCAACAAATAATTAATAGTAATGTGTGGAATGTGGATCACCACTACTGCAGTACTGGGCCTAGAGAAAGCTCCCCCCGCCCGCCTTCGTTTTACTCATCAATCTAACAACGGGCGCAACGTCGTCCCGGCTTCCCTCCTTCCCTCCATGCAATAATTTCTGACCACTCACTCCCATCTCTATTTATCACCCTCCATCCATCCATCCATCCATCAGGTCAACTTCTCGTGTATATATATGTGCGAAAGAAGCGCAACTCCGTCTAATCCAATATTCTTGGCTACACTGCATCTTCAGCTGCTACTGTCCAGAAAGAAGAAAAACAAAACCGAAGCAATAAAAGTCACTAGCAGGATTGTAAAATTATACCGGAAATTGGACCGAAAAAGTTAGCAATAAAATATTTTATGTTTAAATCGGGGTCTAATGATCCATACCACTAAAAATCGCCAACCAATTTAGACTTCAGTAAAACTATCGATACGGTTTTACAAACACGGGTCATTGGTAAACTAAATTATATTACTATTAATATTATTCCGATTCGGTCTATTCCAAGATTAACGCACCGAATTGAAAGGACCATTTTATTCCAAGATTAACGCACCGAATTACAACTCTCAGATTCGGTTAATTTTGTCAACATTATGTAACATGGCTTCGTTTCTAGTTTAAGACAGTTTCCACAGTAATGTCAAACTAGCCTGCGAGCGCAACCTCCCAGGTCGATATTCTTGTTTAATATTTATTAATTATAGTGATTCATATTAAATATCAAGAGTAACGAATAATGATTAAGCAGCTAGCACGAGAAGTGAGTAGCAAACGGGGTTTAATTTGATCTTCCCACCCCACATGAAAAAACAAACAATAACATAAATGGATCACTAACTTATAATAAGTAAGCTAAATACACTTCTATTCCCCTGCTAAAAAATAAGTACTTCCCTCCATCACATATATATATTATAATTAGCTGCAGCAATTTCGCATCACCACTTGAATAGGAATTATTTTTTATACTGGGTAAAGAACAACCAAACAACCTACCTATATGTAATGTAGGGGGTGAAATTTAGGTTTGTGGACAACCGCAAACCCTACCAAAGCTTACATATTGTGGTTAATCACAAATACAATTTATAAGCAGTATTTTTGTACAAAAACACGCCAATATCACTATAGGCTAATTGTGAATCGCGGATTTGTTTATAGCGCGACCGCGGATCCAGGCTTGCTAGATGTGAATAGCGGATTCGTTGCAGGAGACTGCTGCTCCTATATGACAATATATTCACTACTCTGATAATTTTCATAATTACCTAACATCAAGGCAGTAGATGGAGAACAAATTGATATGTAAGAAGCATTAACATTTCATCTTAACAGGAAATTAATCCACGATGTTCATAAGCATATCCTAAAATCTAACATTTTAAAGTAACCATAAAGAATTTCTTTCTATCAAGTTCACAAGCACAATCGATAAACCATTAACCACATTACTACAACCCGTATTCAGATTTGTTTTGAAATTTCATGTAATCCAAAGAAGAAGAAAAATGTGCGTATGGATATTCCGTTGAGAAGAAAAATGTGTTCATTAAGAAGGGCACAATTTTATGCCTTTTGTATAAATCTGTACATCCGGAGCTATATATATATATGATCAATCCAGAAAACAAAAAAAATGAATCTGTAATTCCTATTATAATTCACTGTCAATCTTTTCTAAATTTGTACCAGTACTACTCCTTTTTTTCCTTTCACCAACGTAAACCTCAGGCCGCCGGATAAGAAGAGAGCAAAGTCGGCGGCACACAAGGCGAGTTGTTCCACACGCGCGCGTGCAGCCTCAAAACCTCCCTCGCCTTGTCTTTCGCCCTCCCGCTGCCCTCCACTTGCAATACCAGGCACAGCTTCGCCACCACCCCAATCTGCAGCATCTCCTGCAACACCGCGGCCGTCGCCGACGACTTCCCCACCGAAAGCAAAATCCTCACCGCCTTCTCAGTCGCCACCGTGGAGACGCGGAGTATCTTCTTGCTCACCACCGCCAATCAGGCGGCGTGCTTCACGAACTCCGCCCTCCCTTCCGCGCACTAGCACAGCACGTCCAGCGCGGCCAGCGCCATCTCACAGGCCCGCCGCTCTGACGAGTCGAGGAGCAGGTCGACGAGGACCGAAATGGCGCCGGATTCCACGGCCTTGACGCGGTTCCTCCCCCAGGGGCACATCTCGATCAACAATCCCAATGCGGCCTTGGACGCCTGCTTCGATATTTGGTCCCTCACCAGCTGGACCACCTCGACAAAAAATCCGGTTCGGATCCCGATGATCCGGAGCGGGTCCGCCACGTGGAGCATGGATTTGGATACCTGGACCGCGTAGGCGCGGGACTCGTACGTCCCGCGCTGCATCACTCGCGTGAGCGAGTCGACGAACTCGCCGTTCTTGTTGACCAGGTCCTTCAGCGCGGGCTCCGAGATCCGGAGCCCGTGCAGGAGGCTCAGCGCCTCGTCGCAAGGGCTGGAGCCGAACTGCTCGATGCAGTCCAGCTCCGAGTCGTGGTTGAAATTCACCACGACCGAGGCGAGGAAGTCGACGGCTCCGGCGGACTCGATGGAGCGCTTGTTGGCGTCGCTTTCCTTTGCTAAGGACTTGAGCTGCCTGAGGCACTTGATCTGGCTGTGATGTAGGGATGATGACGTGGCGGAGCGGATGAGCTTGGAGATCTGTGCCCGGCTGGCGGGTGGTTTGGGAGTGGGGATGCGGTGGAAGCCGTGGGAGGCGTTGAGGGTGCACCAGGACTGGATGAGGCGGCGGAGGATAATGTTGGGGGTTAGGTCGGCGTCCGGCGGGATGGGCTGCTTGGTGACGGAGCACGTCTTGTTGTTGTTGCCGTTGGCGGCGGCGGCGGCGGAGGAGGAGAAGAGCCACCGCTCGATGGAGTCGCGGTCGTATGTGATACCGGTGGGGAGGGTGACCGGATCCTTCATTATCTGGAGGGAGATCGGGCAGAGGAAGAATGGAGGCACGTCGATCTCTGACTTTGAGTCCATCACTTGGATCTTTTGCCGGCGGTTGTGATGATGATCAGTTGACTATTGATTGTTGATGAATGTTGAGGGGTTATTGTACTTGGAGAGAGTTGAAGTTTTTTGGTTGATGAAAGTTGGAAGGAATATTGGAGGAGTTGTGGGTTTTTATATATAAGTAGGGATAGAGAAGAGAATGGGTAGAGGGTCAAAGGTGCAAATGTCAAAACACGGCAACTACAAAGTATTGCAGCAATTTGAGAGAATTGGACTTTTCAACGGGAAATGGTACTTCTAATAAGGGGTTAAGCTAGGGCTGTCATTTCGGTTTTCGGTTAGCGGCTAGCCGGCCGGTCTAACCGTTAACCGCCGGTTAGCGGCTAACCGGAAACCGAAAAAAAATTGGGCACGGTCGGTTGTCGGAGGCTCTCCGTGGTTAGGCGGTTAGCCGAAAAACCAACGCCGATTAAACCGGCTAACCGACACTAACCGGCAGGTCTAAACGACGCCGTTTTTGCCTTACATAAAACACCCCATCCCCAAACCCCAACCCTAGCAACTTCGTCCCATCTCCCAAATCTCCAGCCGCCTCCCTCCAATCCACCTGCTCCCAACTCCAATCGCCGTCGCCGCAACTCCGCCTCGCCGCCCGCCTCCAATCGCCGTCGCCGCCCGCCTCCAATCGCGCTACCCCTCCACACCGAGCGACCGACAACACCTTTCTCCCACCGTCGCAGAACAGAATAGCCCCTGAGAGTGCGGCGTACATGTGTTTGGGCAGCGAACCGGGGACAACCCGGTGGAAGAAACTCACCGGAATAGTCGCCGCGAAGCAGAGCAGGAAGCGGAGAACGGGGACGGAGACCCCGATCGCCGCCGCCATGGATTGCATGTCTAATCCATCGACGGGGATTGCGTGATCGTTAACTTCCTTTTCTTTCTTTCTTTCTTTCTCCTTCCTTGTTTCAATTGGTTTGGTGATGGGGCGAAAGAAAAGAAGAAGAAGAATCGAGATGGTGAAAGGAAGAAGAAGAATGGGAATCGAGATGGTGAAAGGAAGAAGAAGAATGGTGAGAGGGCGGTCGGCGGTTGCTCTGGAAAGTGGATAGGAAGAAGAAGAATCGAGAAGTGAGAGGGTGAGGAGTGAGTGGTTCAGAATTTTATTGCTTTTAATTATTTTTTTTTTTTATAAAGGGTATTTTCCGGTTGGCCGGTTAACCAGCCTAAAACCGAAACCGACCGGTCGGTTGGCCGACTAACCGTGACCACTCTCACGGTCGGTGGTCGGTAGGTATGCAGGGTGGCTCGGTTTAACCGATAACCGGGATTTCGGTTTTCGGTTAAACCGAAACCGACCGACTGCCACCCCTAGGTTAAGCATAACTACTACTTGCTTCTGTTCTGTGTTTGTTTGTTGCGGTCTATGAAATGGGGAAGGGAAATAATAATATATTGATTATTTAGTAATAATTAGGGGGAATGAGTACATGGAAGAAAATCCAATCTGGCCCCTGTTGACTTTCTCTATCTAGGAACTGTCTTTGCTATCTTTCTCTGTGTACCTCGTGTTTATTGAGTGTGTAAGTAACCTAACTAGTGTTTGAGCTGGTGTGAGATTGGGTTGCCGACAAACGGTCGTGGAGGGGATACTGGCATACTGCCTCTATTGTGGGGCCATCCTCATTTGCTGTTTCTCATAACTACATTTGTCAAGCTAAGTAAGCGCTTTATTTTCTTTTTCGATCTTTTTCTTTTTCTTAATGACAATTGAATTCATGTAAGTGATTAAATGGCGATGGGATAATTCCCTAAATACAGATAAAACTTAAACAAATTCCTAAAATACCACACTTATAAAAAAATTTCCCAAAATACCCAAGTTTGGAGTGGTTCGAGTTTGAGGAACTCGAACTACTAACCGGTTCGAGTGTAGGAGACTCGATCTAGTCATAGATTGATGATATAAGCCTCGAACCATGTGGAGCTGAAGTGGTTCGAAATTTCCAACAACCTTAACTTTGTGCTCGATTATCCGATCGTAGCAAAAAAAAATTTCATTTCTCATAACTTTTTAAGGACTACAACTTTTATAATAGAAATATTTTCAGAATATATGTGAAAATGTGAAAAATAAAGTTAAAGTTACTCCCAAAATCTCTTATATTAAAAACTATTCCTATTTTAAAAATTTATTCCTAGTAAATGTTGTAGTACTAAAAAAATTATGCAATATAAAAAAAAACTTTGCGACGTTCGGATTGCGGAGCACAAAGTTATGATTCTCCAAATTTTGGCAAATCGATTAGAAACCATGTATAATCTAAATTTGCGGTTATAAGAAATCTAAGAGTCAGTTTTCTGTGGAGGGAGAGATGTAAATGCATATATGGAAATGTATGCAGGGAGTCCTTCTCAGGTTGTTGTCCAAGCAAGTTCAGCAAACATTGGATTGTGCAAAGGGAGTGCAGCAACACAGCAGGAGTTTGATATATTATATATAGTATTGTGTCATTGTGTGTAGGGTTAGAAGTTAGTAGAGTATATTGTCTCTTGCACGCTGGTAATTTGCCTGTTGTGCTTGTTAGGATCTTTGATTGTCCATAGAAAAGCTAATTTCTCACAACTAATTTTGATAAGCCATATTTGTTTCATTTTAAATCATAATTTCAATTTTTTTACAATTTTCATTTGAAGTAGTAATTTCATTTTTTCACAAATAAATCAAATTAATTGTCCCCTCCAAAATGACATCCGTTTTTATATATTTTTTAACAAAAAATATATTATTACCAGTCATAACAAGTGGTAATGTTTGATAATATATAAGATTACACCACGTGCTATAGAAGTGTATCATTGTAGTAGAAACATAGAAGAGTGTAGAATAGTTGTATACATGATAGTAGAAATATACAAACGTCATTTATCACCTTTCCTTTCATTTTCATATACCACAAAAACACCCTGGTATAGAATGGTATATTTGGTATTGTAAAATTTTCACAAAAATTTGTAGATATATTAGATAAAGATGAACTCATTTTTCTGGATAATTTTTTTTAATTCATGTTAAAACGAATGTGGTACCAAGTGAAAGCCACGTGGTATCATGATGATAACGAGTGTAATAAGTGGTATGCAATTTTTTTCTTGAAATATATTAATTAAAAATGAAGATCATTTGTACATCACATGGACTTGTTCTATTTGTTCAATTTATTTTGAAATTAAAGTTAAAACAAAAAATATAAAAGCCGATTAAAAAAGAAAATAGATAGAAACTCTTAATTCGCATCCCTTATATTTGTTTCTACTTAAAATTAAGGGTTCTGATCTAGTTATTCGCCCTATCTTGGACCTTATATGAAGATATTCTAAAGAAAGTATATTAATTTTAACTTTTATTATGATCATTAGTAGTTGAATTTGTTTTGTCTCGCAGGATTTAGTAGCCTCCTTTTATCATTTATTTTTTTTTAAATAATTTCTCAATTGTAGAAATCCAAACAACGCGGAAGTAAAAGACACTCGATGTTTACGTGGTTTTCTCGTTCATTGTAAATGAGACTATTCCATAGAGAGTTTGCATTAGACACCTTTATTTCTTCATCCACTTCAGCTATAGTATCTAGGTAGCTAGGCAAAGAAGCAAGAAATTCAGCTGCTGATTTGATAGGGGGTCTAATTATAGTATAGGTCATGCTCTTGGAATACCACGTGACAAGAAATCCGAAGACGATAAGTAGAAACATCATAACATGCATATCCTTTGTGTTTCTCACTATAGCCCACGAAAACATAATTTGCAGCCTTTGGGGACAATTTGTATGCTCCCGCTTAGCTAATAAAACATAGCACATGCAACCGAAGATGTGCAGCCAAGCATAGTTTGGGTGAGAAGAGTGAAGAACGGGATACGTTGAGCAAGGACCGGAGTCATCTGGCGATTAATAAGATACACCACTGTGTGAACCACCTCCACCCAGAAGTTGGTAGGGAGGCTGGAATGGAACAACAATGCACGAGTAAGCTTCAACACATGTCTATTCTTACGCTCGACAACCCCATTATCTTGGGAAACACTTGGCCAAGACTGTTGGGGAAGGATCCCCTTCTCACAAAATAGATCAAGTAATGGGTTCGAAGTAAACTCGCCACCAAGATCAGACCACAGAACTTTGATCACCTTGCCAAACTGAGTTGACACAATCTGAATAAAATCCTGAACTACATCAAAAAAATTCGACTTCCTTTTGAGAAAGTAAACCCAAGTATATTGAATAACATGATAAAAAAAACAAAGCAAAGTGTCGAAACAAAGTCACGCAGTGACGGAGAGGGCCCTCAGAAATCAGTGTGAACAAGATCAAATGGTTCGTCATACTCAGTAGTGCTAGCAATAAAAGATCGCTAAGAAACCTTAGCCTCCACACAATGAATACACTCATGATCAGGAATCCAACGAACTCTACCAGTCAACAGATTTTTTTAAACATATAAAAAAGTCTCGACTTATGGGGATGGCCAAGCCAAAAATGCATAAATTCCAATTCGTTAATTTAATAGAATAACCAGTATTTGATAAACAAGAAGCGGAAACAATAGCACAACATCCGAACATCCAACAACTTGAACACTCGGCTGATCCTTATCCCGAGTGCACAAGAATGTGCCCCCTCGATCTCCCTCCTAGCGCTCGACTCCAACCTGGCGGTCATAGCAATCAAGGAAATAGATCTGACCCTTCTTACTCTCACGCCCTATCACCGCCCTATCCTCATGTCCTGCACAGCTGTCATCAGCCAATTGACCCACCCAAACTAGGTTGGGTACGATTTTAGGAACATAGAAGGCACGAGAAAGAGACAATTGATCTCGCCGAACAGAACCAACACTCTCCACTCACATACGCGAGGCATCAGCATCTTGTAGAGCAATACCAGAACTTGGCCGAAGAGACATAAAAAGAGAACTATCACTGGTCATATGATTCATAGAAGTAGAGTCAAGATGCCACGAAAGAA